TTTCCCTCTCTTGATGCTTGCGTCTTGTCGCAACTCGATTCTTGTTCTTATTGGCAGAACTGCCACTCCTGCTCGAAGGCCATTCTCTTGGTTTCTTTGGAACCTGAGAAAGGTTCAGCCCTGACATCGTAGCTTGTGCATACGTTTGCCCAGATCGAGTGACTTTTGCTATGAGAAGATGTACAAGACCTCGCAAAACCCCCTTCGAAAAGTCCTGCTGGGAAGGCCGGTATTCCTTTGCCATACCCATTGAAGGCAGAACTCCAACGAACACTTTTCAGTGACTACTTTTGTACGACGTGCGCCAAGGCAGGCGTCAGCAATCAACTTTGCAGGTGGATACGAGGAATGCTTCTCATGACTGGAAGAATCACAGATTCGCAAATGATTAAAGACTCAGAGGTACTGGTAGAGCAACAGAAGTTTTCAGAGGCCGATACGTCTCTGGACAAACCATTCGACAATGTATTTGACAAATGATTCAGAAATACACTTGACGCAAGCATGCAGGGCCAACGTTGTATGCAACCAACATACTCAAAAGGGGGTTCTCAATTCACTGGAAATGATACTTTACACTCTGCTTGTATTGCTGTGATACAATCTGGAAATGAACGTGCTGTTCAACGCTGCAAGGTGTCATGGTACCTGAAACGTGGCTGTTCATATAAAGCATGGGATATTGAATTATTTTGTGGCATTTGGGAAGCTTGGACATTTCAAGTGAACTTCGTGTACAACAAATATCTCTAGACATTAGTTATCATTATTATATCTTATTTTGCCACCGTGGTTGATAGTCCAATACATCTAACTGGGGTACGATTGTTCTTCAATTTCTACTGTTTTGTAGTGGTAAAAAGTACGTGCTTTGCCAGGCTCGCATCAAAAAATTCACCCTCCCACGGTCCCATTCTTGTTGCAGGTTGTATAACAGCGTTGGCGACGGAGTTGATAAACAAGCATGCTTGCAATATCTAGAACTGGCAGCTCTTTTATTCCGTCTTCATATTTTGAACTTTGATTCAGCAGCTGCCAACTTCTGCTTAAAGTAATCCTGAAGTACAGGGTAATATAGTTTTCTTGGACTTAATGAATTACACACTTTTTCAGTGAGATACGACGGATGAGGGTCAGGGAACTATGCCTGCAGGCGTGAGGTGTGCCGGCGATTTCCTTGTAGCTCCACTCGGCTGGAAAAGAACGGTCGTAGTGTTCAAATATTCATTCCTGCCTGCTCCGCTCCGAGCTCATTGTTAGTGAAATTCTGCGTCAACGTGACCGACGAGACGTCAGGATAACTACAACATCCCTGCTTCGTTCGCAATGCCTTCTTGCAACACTTCAGAAGGCGGAGAGAAAGTAGTAAATGAGATTGATACAGTGCCAAGCAAAAACAGAGCTGATTACTTTACTGGGGCAGCGTCAGATGAACTTGAAATCACAGCAAATCACATGCGTGAGCAAGACGCAGATCTCTTGGAGAGTAACCACTACGCTGCTTCTCTAGTTTCACAGTATTCGCCTGGTGGCACTCCACTGCTGAGACCGCAAGACAGGTCTCTGCCCCTGGAAGATGTACCGCCGTTGATGTTAGCGCCGCAATCGAATTCAACAACACCGTCACGAAAAGATGGTGAATCGGCCCTTGAGATCTCAAAATCACTTTCGCTGCAAAATTCCACGATATTTCAATCCCCATCAGGTGAAGAAGGGAGCCATGCCAATGGTAACGTTTCGGTTTCTGGTCAAGACGGATCTATTGAACATCGATTTCGGAGACTCCTTTCGGGAGAAGTGTGTACAGTGGACTTAAATAATGTAGAGCAAGATATGTCGCAACCAGCGCGAAAAGAGATGGCAGCATCTCCCGTTGCAGTTGCGCAGGAAACCGGAACAGTAAGCGAGAGGGAAAATAGCCCTGGTTTGGCAGAACAACGTAGAGTCAGCGAGGCAATGCAATTTGCGGAAGCTGTTGGCGAACCGATTTCTACAAATCAGAAAGAGCTTTGCATCATCGAAGATCATACAGACGGAGGCGAATCTGATGAGTCTGACGATGAAGAAGTATGCGATTTGAATGATATTGTGGTAACAAAACCCAAAGCTTCTTCAAACTATAGACGTGAGGATGCACTCAAGCTGCCTCAGCATGTTGATGTGTTGAAAACCCCAGATCGACCTCGACGGAAGTGGAGACCTGCCTGGCCCTTTGGATCGGCGGAATCTGAATTGAGTGTACTCGAAAGCTTGCATGGGAAGTCAGGGGAACATACATTTGCATACAAGGGCATTTCTGCCAACCCACCAGAGATTACAAAACGTGGAATCCAGCGTGGAAATTATGCCCAGCTCCACCGAAAGGCATGGCTAGAAGTCAGTGACAAATACCATCGCTATGGCAAGAACTTGAGGTCCTACTACAGATATTGGGAACGTTTAGACTTCCCAACAAACCAATTCTTTGACTGGCTGGATTCAAAGGGTGAAGCAGCAGGCCAACCTCTTCCTAATTTGGCTGAATGTCCCAGGTCTGTTCTGGATTCTGACACTGTGAAGTATATAACTAAACCGGAAGTGACAGAGAGCTATGCCATTGATATTGTTTCTGAAGGTGGAAGAGGGCGCGTAATCGATGTCGATGGCGATCCTGTCAACACGGGACCTGATGGCTGGATCTTTGTATTGCGGGATAACGTACTATATGCTGCTGAAAAGATAACATCCATATCTGGCCACTTAAAGCAGCGATTTCATCATTCCTCCTTTTTTGGAGGGAAGGCGGTTGCGTCTGCTGGTATTCTCATAACTGACAAGGAGGGTTACTTGACTCGTCTCTACCCTCATTCAGGACACTACAGGCCAGGAGAAGCTCATGTGCAGAGAATGCTGTTCTTTCTCCAACAGAGAGGTACTGATTTAAAGTCGTTTGAAGTTGACACCCAGCAATTCAGCCATGTAGCACGAGATAAGGATATAAGATCCAAGGAAAAGGATCCACAGAAGAAACATAGGAAGGTTGACAATCTTCACCTCCAGCGTGCTTCGACTGTCGCATGCTTTCTCTCGCACAAAGCCAAGTTCATCCGGGAAGGAATATTCAAAAAGATTCATACGATTCGAAAGGCAGACGTAACCACGGTGTCTGAAGCATTGCAAATTGTTGACAAAGGTGGATGTGCAAAGAAAGGCTGAACTGCTGCTTTTCATCTTGCAACAATAATCAATAATCAATAATTCAGTTACCTTGCTGAGACGAACACTTTAACGGAGCAGGTATTGTAAGTAGAGTCTTGTATGATATCTCTAGTGTTGAGTCTCTCAGGACCGTGTAGCAAAACCGTATATTTCGAGATTCTTTGATCATCAAAATTTCGTGTTTTTGCGCAAAAACATGAACGTTATAATATGACCCGTTTGTCCCGACGGACACCAGAAAAAAAAGGGAAATACAATATTTGAAAATCGCCGTCTTTTTCATACTACAGTACCTGTACCCATACAATGACGGCACCTTTCTGCTTGGAATGCCCAAAGATCGAAGAACAGAAGAATAATATTTGATTTCAAAAAATATAGTGGCTACACGACCCGGATATGAGCTGCATTCCTGAAGGAACTTGCATCATTTGATTACCTGTAGTACCAGTAAGTTGCAAAGGTGTGTTAACGCTTCCCGCAACACTCGATGTTCCACCAGTGATAATACTTGTCGCTGGAGAAGTTCCAGGAACTGTAGCTAGGACAGTTGCTCCAATCTGATTGAGATTGAGCTTCTTCCCATAATCAACATAGTGTTTCAAATTTTTCCATTGAGTCTCTGGTAGCATTCTGTCTGGGCATTTTGGAGACATATGATCCTTGCTGCCACATACATAACATGCTGCCTTTTTCTTATCGTCCTTCGGTTTACCTTTACCTTGATTTGGTTGGTCATTTTCTTGGTAAAGGTTCACTCCCGGATTCTTGATCACATCCATATGAATCTTCAACATATCTTGTGCTTTGCTGACCGTCTTTGGATAATAATCCACTTCCCTGCAGTAGTTTGTCTGAAGATCCAGCATTAGAGGAGCTGTTCTTGTTCAATCACAGTTGGCTGCACAGGAATCCTGTTGCAAGAACGGCTTCAAAGATATCATCCTTGAACTTGTCTTTAGCAGTAGTATCGGTGCTAGCAATAGCAGCATACGCTTTCGTCTTGACTGCAAAATTTCGGAACCAGGCAACGACATATAGATCTTGCAGGACTTCAGCCTGTCTCAAGAATCGTTCCTTGAAATGAATCAAATTTTTG